ACCTTATTGGGCATAGTTGCCCATGGGTTGCAACCCATAGACTACGGGTAGTGATCTAGAAACCTACGTGACCTACAGCACCAATTGTTAGGGCACAACACGTTGAAGCCGCGACTTCAAAGACATACTTCTTGAACTTCTTGGCCATCTCCTTCACAGTCTTGTATTAACCCTTGTGAATGTTCTTCATGCAGATCTTGATGCTTCTGTTCGCATCGACTTGTGTCATCGTGAGTGCTTCGTTGACTTGACTAACCGTGAGGTTGGCTTGCATTTGTTCCAGAGTGAGTTGTCCAACATGACAGTCCGAAGCTGTGGTAAAGGGGATAAAGGGATGGTAGACAGAGAGAAGCAAATGAAATCACAATATATGCTCTCAACCCTTCAACAAACAATCATGACCTACCATCATATTCAACCGGAATTTTCTGTGTCACATATAAGTATCTCACAAGACACAGTTCCATAAGTAAGGTGAATTGACTATAATTATTATAAGCAGTAGATGCATGATATATCTATAGTTTACAACATCTTCGCAGCTTTCTGGGCCACCCTACGAACCTGCTTACGCTTATACAATCATTCACAATTGGTGTTCAATTTATTGTGGCGCGAGAGTAGGGTGAGCTGAGCCTCAAGCTGGGACCCAGGTGAAACGTTCGCCGCCTTATGAAGCCTCTCCCTGTCCACTGCCTTCTTTGGCAAAGGCTTGAAGCCATACGGAGCCCATGCCCAAATACCACCAACCGCATACTGTGTGATAGAGAACCGGACGTCGTCAGGGCCCATGGGCGTATTGCCGTGCTTGACGCAGGCCGACAAGATGAGAACCGTAGCGCGGGGTGGGGCTTGAACCTGTATTCCCAACTCCTCAGACCACAGCTGGGCTCCAGTATACTGGTCAACGGGTGTGATGGGGCAGGGGAGGCCAGGCTTGTTTGTTGTGTCGTAGTGGCCCCAGGAGATAGAGTTCAAGCCCATGTTGGCGGTGAAGGTGGGATAGACCAAGGTCCGGAAGTTCATGTCAGCAGGCTTCATGAATGGGGGGTTGACGGCGAGGCTGTTGAGGAGTAGGATAGATCGTCAAACACCTTGGGGAAGTAATAAGCAAGGGCCACTATAAAGAGATTAATCAGTGAGTACAAGAAAGGAGCTGTTAGCACAAACTGGACTGATGCCTGGTGGCACGTTAAATGTCTTCATTGTTTCTCAGCTCTCGTTCAAGATCTCGAAGTGTCTTGCCACTGGTAGTCTTGCGAGACTGTTGATTTAAGCATTTTGGTACCTAGTCAAATAGTTAGAAAGGCTGACAAGAAAAAGATACAGCAACATACCCTCTGGCTCTGACCATACAATCAATCAATGGAGATTGACTTGAAAGGCACCCTTCTCGTGGACTCAAGCTCATCCTGGCCGAAGAGTTTGTTGTACTCTTGGCTCCAAGAGCACAACTTATCAGCCAAGCGCTCAATACTTGCCTTCCAGGTCTTGTGCTCAGGCGTACCCGGTCGATTCTTCGACCACCCTACAAGCACAGTGACGGCACTGGACTTCTCATCTACAATAGTATAAGAAGACATAAATAGGTCAGCAACAAACCATGGAGAGGCGTGAGGTATAAATGTACTGGCCATCCCACTCAACCGACTTGATACTCTGGCCATCGAGCTGCTTGATAGTCCTATGCTCCATCTTCTTGGTCATTGCCAGCTTACCGTGGTCTCCAGGTCCTTCAGCGCGGTACTGATTTCTGGAGTAGTTGACGGATATCTCGGGAATGTCGGTGTGGCGAGTCTTGATCTTCTTGTTAAGATGCACAAGGGAGTTGGTCTCCTTGGCCTCTGCGCACTCTTGCTCTCTGCTCTCCACCCTTTAATACTCCGAGCTCTCCTTGGCATGCTGCTTCCTTGACTCAGTCTTGGGCTTGGGCGCAGCCTTTGGCCTTGTCTCAGAATTCAACGCATGGCCGCCTGTCAATTCCGAGAGCAAATTGGCACAAGTCGACACAGAAGGAGATGCTGGGCAAAAAGGAGGGCGGCTTGGAGATGGTGTGGACTGAGGCGTGTGGGTGATTATGATGCAATAAAGTTTGTCAATTATTTCGCCAGCATCGTCCTCGGACATGATTGTATCGAAGGGCGGCAGTTGAATGTACGTGGGATCCTCAGGCTCAGCCTCTGAAAGGTGTTCAAGGGTGGCAGTGGCAGCCAAGAAGACGCCATATGGGATGTTGAGCTCCTACTTGACGGGGAATGGTAAGTGGTCATAGCCAATACATATTTGATGATAGAAGCTGCAAATAATGTCCAGCAGCACCTGGTGCCATGAAAACCTGTATTCAAAGCTGTTGATGGCGGGATCTGGCGGTGATGTGAGACGACTGGAGCAAATGTCATATATATTTGGACGCACACCACTGACTTGTTTATCATAGAGCTCGCGGAGGGTTTTGTTCATAACACCATGGATTATGCAGTAGTCCGGGTGGGTGAGGTGAAAGCGTGTGATAAAATTGTCGTCCACCTCACCCGCCGTAGACGTTGACGGCTGAGCATTCGCACCAAGCGGTTTAGCGTTGGACAGGTTGGAGCCCTCGCCGCCGTCTGGTGCCAGGTCACACACTGCCTCTGCTGCGTCACCTTCACCATCCCGCACATACAGCGGACTCAGGTGCCTGGCACTGGAGCCACGCAATACGGTAGAGCTGCTATCATCTGAATCCTTGTTGATAACACTTGGTGCAACACTACTTTCGTAGTCGCTGGGCGAGAGCGGGTATTGCACGTACAGTGGCGCATCTCCCGACGAATGGATGGAGTCAGCCTCCCACAACGCCAAAACATCAGTATCCGTTTCACTGTCAGATGACAGTGTGGGTGAGGTAGGAGACGGGGGTGGGAATGGCTCATGGCTGGAAGCAGAGAGGTTGAGGCCTGCTTCGTCACTTGCCTGTTCGCAGCGAATGGCTTTGGCGAGGACTGCCTTAAAGTCGAGGCCCATGACGCAAACACTGTCCGCAGTGATGCGGGCCAGCTGCACAATCTTGGCCTGTCAATGGGCTGTGTTAGTGTCGGTAAGAAAGAGGCAAAAGAAAGAAAGAAAGACAAAATGAAGGCCGAGTGGCCTGCCACGTCACGTAACCTCCGACTGGAGATGACAAAGTTGGCTGGTGTGATGGCAAAAACAGCAAAAACAGCCAGCTGAGGTCGCAGTAGAATAGAAAGTGATAAAATATAATCAAGAGAGCGACATTCAACAACGTCACTCGACACAACCTCTCGCTCGTGCCCTACAGTGACGAGTGATCTCTCTCAAAATGTGAGCGAGGAGAAATAGGGAAAAGCTGCAATGACCATAACGTGTACAAGTAGCCAGAGTGAACAACATACCTTCATAGCAGGCAGTGACAGATGGGGTGCTGACCGAGTAAGAGCTTATCGGGATGATGGGTGAGAGGGGGTGAAAGGGAGAAGGAGTTGAAGGAGTTGGGAGAGACGAACCGTCCATGACTTGCGACCAACCTACCATGTGAAGTCGCTGGAAATCCGTCACGGTTTGACTGCGCAAGCCTTTCGCGACATGGGAGCCCGAGAAGGGGGTATTATTGTGTATTCAAAAACTCACATGAAATGCTGCGGCGCACTTTTTTCTGCGCGCAAACACGTCTTGAGAAAGAACAGGCAGTAGCTCGTCAACTACAGCAGCACGTAGCACTGCTCTACTTGATTCGTAACTAGAAAAATTGTAGCTACAGTATACAAGTTGAATGGAAAAATTTGAGCTGATGGCAGCCAAGATTCTTTTCCGCCAGCCGATATGTGCCCCGTGTCCACCTGACTGCGATGTCATTCTGGTTACTCCCTACCACAACAGTGAACTACCACACACTCTGGGACCACTCTCGACCTTTACCATCATTCTTGCACTTGACTGATGCCTCAAGACGGCCTGGTAGCCAGCAAATCCAAGCCGAATGCTTGAAACGGCAGTGCCAATCCACTGTCAAACACATTTCTAGTGGTGCACATGCTCCTTCAAGTCATCTGAGATGCATACACCAGTCATGGTGAGCAGAAGGCAAAGGGAGAACAAGCAGAGGATTGGTGATGGCAATCGTGCATGGTACATGTTGGCCGGCGAAAAAGATCTCAGCCGACATCGGCTCAAATTTCTCCATTCAACTTGTATATTGTAGCTATGATTTTCTTAGTTACAAATCAAATAGAGCAGTGCTACGGGCTGCTGTGGTTGACAAGCTATAGCCCGTTCTTTTGCAAGACGTGTTTGCGCATAAAAAAAGTGTGCCGCGGCATTTTCATATGAGCTTTTGAATGCACAATAGTGCATTCGACATACGAACTTACTCATTTATTAGTCTCAAAAGTCTCTGGATCCCATGCAGACAAAAACAAAGGCTCGTGATATCTATGACTGTAAGTAAGGGCTCGAATACAGTCTGAAAAACTATATGAACCTATGCCCTTCGAGGATCCAAAGCCTGGAGGCAGTCATAGTGTCATGAACCTCTTGCAATGCACTAGCAAACAGCCATTCTTGATGCGGTCCGGCCAACAGCCACCAATGCATATGAAGGGTGGCCTTGTGCTTGTGGGGACAGTCAGATGGTTGCGTAGCATGCCACTGAGCTGCTTTGAGGGCTCGTTGGAAATGTGGTAGGACGGGATTAGCTGTAACTGTGGCGGTGGCGCTATGTTTTTCGTAGAACTAGCGTGGAATATCGGGGATGAACAGATGTGGCACGTGTGGCTTCGGATGGATTCGGACTAAGTCTCGTGACACGTTATGGACTCGTGATTTGGCCTATGTGTATGTTTGTCTATGCCTTATGTGCTTCTCTTTGGACTTGTTCTTTTCTCGCATAGCCTCGGTTCATAGTTATTCCCTCGGCATAGCTTCCACCTATAGCGTAGCCT